GGAAACACAATAATGATTTGAACAACTTATTCCATGTACCCAATAAATAGATGTTCGAATGTTAGATGTTGTAGTATTTAATTACATTTGAATGCAAAATTGTATTGATCGTATTGTACTAATCCAGTTATGTTTCCATCCTTAAATGTTCCAGTAAATAAACAGAATTCCATATTCAAAACCCTAATTGTTGCACATTGTTGTCGTATTTTGTTACACGTAAATGTATAAATGTATGAAATGGCGACGATGTTATGCAGAATTTACATTGTAAGAACTCAAATCAATACAAGGGGAAACCATTGATTGTTATAAAGTATTTGAAATAAGATGTACACTTTTGTTTATTTCTTTTTATATTTAATACTATTCATCTTATAATGATTTCCTTATCTTTTCTTATACTGGCGCGTTAAGTTTCAATCCCTTAATTCTAATGTTGCTTAGATTTTTTTTAATTGAAATGCGTAAAGAATTTATTATTATTATTATTATTCCATATATATTCACCTAAATTTTAAGCTAAAATCAGTAATAATGATGAAATTTCTCATAATAAACATTTAGTATTGTTACCATATTTTTCTGCTAATCAAGAACTGCTATATATCTTATAATGATAAATTAATTTAAAACTCTAAATAGAGCCCAAATGTTTTATTCATCGGATACGCATATATATTTTAAATGTGTATTATTTATTTCTATACTTTGCTTTATTTTTGTTTTTAAATAGTATAAATGAGCTTTTTAAAATAATTTCCGACAGTATATTATAAGAACAACAACTTAAAAATAAATTCTTGGCTTGAAGTTTGAAGTTCGTTTTCTAAATTAGTTGTTAGTTACATAACAAGACAATAATAATTAAACTAAATTTTGTCTTCTGGCTTGAGAAAAAAAGTCAGTTTTGAATAGCAAAATATTTCTCCAAATAGTGATTTTTTATATCACCATTGAAGATTCAGCAATTTAATTTCTATTATTTTAACAGATAGCCTTAAGCAGATTTTGCTTATGATACATTGAGTTCAAATTTTTCTATTTTCAATGTCTTTCATTTTCTTTATCAAGCATACCTTTGCAGTTCACAAAAAATTAAGTAATTGCTAAGAATTTCAACTATTTATTTCGCTAAATCACTATAGTAAATAGTTTTCAATATTCAGATTTCAGTACAAAAATTAACACATCGAACAAACAATAAATTATAATCTATCAAACTACTTACCCATCTTTCACAAATAAATTTATTTACATTACATATTTTGCCATGAACATGAACATATTTAATAATTTGCTGCATAACAACGTCTGCCCATGATAGCTGTATTACTGATGAAATAAAGCCTGTTAAATATTTTTGCTGCATGTTAAACATGACTGCTGCTTGACATGATCAAAGCTTGAATCATTTTGCTTCAATAGTGCCTTCCTGCATGCCTAACCCTTGTTCTCTTGATTATCTGTACGTACCGATGTTGTCCAAAAGAGGCCCGTGGCCAAGTGGCGTGGAGGCTGTCACGAAGAGCAAGTCGCAGTGTGTTGTCCCTTACCCCTGGGTGAGTGGATCCTACCTAAAACTAAGACACCCTTCACCATTCGCCAATCATGAAGACGAGTTGGTTGCAAAATGGTCGCTTATGTGTTTAGAATATGTTAGAGTCATATAAACCTGTAGAGTCTTGATTATCTGAGTTGCCTGAGCTGCTTCAGACTACTCAAATAGAAATCTTTCAAGCGTATTTATTTCATTAAAAAAGGTGTGAGCAAATTGCATCAAAGTATTTGTAAACAGAACTTCGTGACAGAAATCATTCACAGATTCCTTTTATGATTTACACTGCAGGACATATCCTTAATGTAAGTGTAAAGATAATAATGCAATTCTTCTTGTCTTAAATTTACAAAATTTTATAAAAGTATATTAGTCATATAAGAATATTAAGGTAGTTTAATACGAGAACAGAATTTTAGGAACTTGAGCTTCTATGTCAGTAACATTAGAATTTCAAACTTTTTTACTAAAGAAAAATATAGCTGTTATAGAAACTACAGAATTTATTAAATTTATTACAATTTATTAAAGAATGATATTAACACGTAATCTATTTTACCCTTGACTGACGAAGCAAAGCGTAATATGATACTAATCTTGACTTTCATACAAGAATGCATTGTTAATATAGTAATAAAAATTTAACGACATCCAGTAATCTTCAATATAAAAATTATGTATTCAATCTTAAACCTTCGCAGGCGAGAATGAAATATGCAAATGATTACTTAAAGAAAAAGAATCATTTGGACTAGTATTTTGACAGAGGCATGAGTGTCTAAAAAATGCATAACTTATACTATACTGTAGGTTGCAATATGGAATTAACGAAAATTTACTGGTGCAAAAAATTAAAATGGTAATTTCTAAATTTGGATTTTGCGAAATATTTTAGTAGATTAGACTTTCTCCCAAAAATAAACCTAACTGGAGTTTCAAAATCATGTATGAAATTGGTTCATTACATCTCAGATAATAAAGACTCTAGCCCGTTCGCAAACTCTAATTTGATGTACGTCATAAATTCAGGATAAGGATGTCCGCATTTGAAAAATTCAAGAATAAAAAGAAAGTTTTTCCCAATGTGCTATTTCCTTTTAACCTTCTGAAGCTAACTTCCATCCCCTTCCCAATAAGCTAACATTTATATTGTAAGTAATACTAATAGGTACAGAATTTACATGGTGAACGGATATGGAATAACAAATGCATATTGTTCACTTAAAATCAATAGTATGTATCAAGGCAGTAAAAGATTTGGAGTCCCGTGTAAGGCAATGCTGTTCTTAATATTTCTTTTTGTATGTAGTTGAATCATAGTTTTTAAGAAACATTTTCTTACTGAGTAAAAAAATTAAAATATTCTTGTGAAGTATAAATGTATGCTTTGTACCTAAAATAGACAAATAAAATTTCTACAGTGGAATTCCATATAAAAATATGGAATTGAATTTAAAACTAGTAAACATTTGAATTCCATTCTGGGCACCATATAACTTGCAAGAATCTGGGAAATTCTGTCATCTTAACTTTAAGGCTTCCTCTGGTGGCACGAAAGAGACGGTTTCGAAAGCGTTTCAATTAATTGCCGAGAATTTGAAAAGAAAACTTGAGAAAAATATGACTTCAACTCTTGGCGAAATGAATTAATTCTATTGACACTAAAACTAGAACAGTACTACATAAGCCCAATATAAACTTTTTCACTTTTACATAAATTCCAACTTATTTCAACATAGACTGTATAATGAAAAAAATGTAGGAATTCTCTAATACGTTTAGCAGAAGTAAATGAGTAATGATGCTTATAATTTCAATTTACGTAATGGAATTATATCCTTTTTGATAGTTCTGCGTTATATATATGCTTTAATTAAACTATACGCTGTAACTATCTTAATATTTGTTATTGATGTTTAATCATATAGGTATGCATTATTCGTCATTTAGCAAATCCTTTTTTCTCATATCTCCAGCTAAATTAGTTAAAATAATTATTTCTTATAAATCTACACAGCAACAATGTTGATAAGTACATCGCAGTTTCATCCACTAGTACTCTAAACCTGTTTCAAATTTTAAAATTCCGTACACTTGCTCTAAACACTCGCTTAGTCCTTTATTAATGTTGTTATGCATGTTAATGAAAGCATATTTGTAAAAGATTTGTTAAAATGCTGACTTACAAGTGATTTAAAGAATTATTATTTGGGAAAATTTGCTTGACATCCCCATTATATGTCTTTATTTGGAAGGAAAGCTTCAACATACATATTTTTTGTGCTTTCTGTTTTTAATCGTGTCTAATCAAATACTTTCTGAAATTTGTTGGAGGATCTTCAACGTAAGCATTTCACTTATGCTAATCATAAAGAAACAATCTTCTTGGAAACTGCTTTAATTTGTTGTCTGCTTCAGTATATGAGAAAAAGTTCATACATCTTATTCTTAGCAAAGAGTGGTGAGAGGTATATTCCGCTTTGAATTTTAAATATTTACTTGAATTTTAAATTTGAATCAATAGTTTAATGAAAGTCGAATTCAGGTGAAAAGTCTCTACGATATCAGGAAGCTTTTCCTAAGCTATTCTAAATACTAAATTTTCAGAATAGAGGTAAAGTCTTTGATTTTAGTTACAACCTTTATGGTAGGAACTTATTTATTTGTATTTAATCTTAGACATAAATTTAATGATGGACATTTAATTGTTCCAATTTTCGTCTTTTAATATGTTAATTTGTAAGTTATAATCTATCATATTTTTTTCGTGAAAACCATATACATCTTTTATAGGCGTCTCTCATATTTCATTGAAAAGCTTCAAAAAATTTGAAAAATTCGAACGGCACTAATGACTCCGTGCCTTGACTATACCTGTGATATCCTTCATACTTCACATTAATATCCCTTTCATGTATTTAATAAGCCACAGTTATAATTTTCCAATATTTTTATTCTTATAATGTCGAAAATGTATTAAGACTATGTTTTTGTTTCGGTCTGAATAATTACGTCATACGTATCGTTTACATCTTCTTTTATCTTAACATTAAAATGGTTCATTAAGTTCATCTCTGAGAAACCTTACGTTTTCGATCAGCAAAATAATTACAAGTCATTTTTCCTTCAGGCACAATTGGTATCAGACTATTTCACACCCCTAAAAAATATATCAATTAACTTGGCATGAAATATAAAAGTTGTAACAAACGTAACAAATTGGAAACATGTAAAAATAAATAAAAGGACCAAACAGTAACTGGAAAAAGTCCTTAAATATTCCATAAATTTCTTGCCCTACAGACGTTTAGTAATCTTACGTAAATAGATCTGGAAAATGCCGCAAAAGGAAGCCTTTGGGACAGGAGATGGAGATTTCCCATCAGTATGAGTCCCAGTCTCACCGAGTTAGATGGTATTCCTAATTTGTAACTTCCTGCAGACGACGACGTTGATCGGTCTCCTGAAGACCGCCCGCCTCCTGCGGCTGGTGAGGGTTGCCCGTAAAATCGACCGCTACTCGGAGTATGGGGCCGCGGTGCTCTTGCTCCTCGTGGCCGCTTTCGCGCTCATTGCTCATTGGCTGGCTTGCATCTGGTACGCAATCGGCAACGCCGAACGGCCTTTCCTAGAGAATAAGATCGGCTGGCTGGACGCCTTGGCAGAAGATACTAAGCAGCACTACAACAATAGCCATGGAGGGCCCTCCATCAAGTCCAAATATGTGACGGCTCTCTACTTTACCTTCACGAGCCTTACCAGCGTGGGTTTCGGAAACGTAGCCCCCAACACCAACATGGAGAAAGTCTTTGCCATCATCGTCATGCTGGTGGGATGTAAGTATGCTTTATTTAAAGATAGTACTGTGCTCTGCTTATGTCAATTAGCTCTGTTTCTTTCAAACCTTTATTGAACTTAGCACGCAACCATTGCCCATGTAGCAATGACTGCATATGAAAGAAAGTCCTCTTACCATAGCATAAGATAATGCATGTCCTCTGCATGCAATCGAAGATTAAACGTAGCAGTCTGATAGTCCATTTCTCTTTGCTCTTAGTGGACAAGTCATATAAAAATACTTAAATAGGACAATGGTTGCATTTTTTCAAATTTATCTCCCAAAATTATCATCATTTACAGTGCTATAATCACCAGCTTATCCTATTTGACATCATTTCAAGTCCATTTATCTGGCGGTATGGTACTCAAAGCATAAACCATGCATTTGTCACTAATATGAATTAAATACAGATTACAAAGTTAGATTTATTTTACAAATGCCAAGCATTAGCGCTTAAGCCATTAGTTCATAGGCTCTCCAGTACTTTTTAACAATGCCATCATACCGAGAAAGTGCAATGCAATTATTTAAATGTTCAAAAATCATAGGCTGAATGGAGTCACACAAAATACAGTTTGGAGAATCCACCACTCCAATTCTGTAGAGGTGGTCTCGCAAACAGTCATATCCGGTCAGACGTCTAAATAGAGCTACCGCTGTTGTTCTTGGAAAACTGGGAATGAAAGTTGTCTATTCCCCCAGAATCAATTAACAAAGTTAGAAATATTATAATATATTCAAAGCTCAATATTTCTTACAAAGACCATTTTGCTCAAAATTTCAGTTATTCAGAGCAACGTTTCCTCTAACTATTTACAAGCATATTCAGCCACTTATATTTACGAAGATGCACATGTGATTTTACTTCCTATGCAAAACATAAATTATGACATGCTTCGCGCAGCTAAAAGAAAAATTATAGGGAATGTTGGTTCAGTGATATTTTAGCAATAACCATATACTTATTGCGGGAAACAAAACTGAGAGTTTTTTTTTTAAACTTTGCTAATGCAACATGTTTATTGTACCTCTATTGACCCCCCCCCCCTCTAAGCCAACACACTGAGCAGGAAGCAGTGAAATGAAAACCAAAATGAGAACAGAATATTATACGATATACTTTTTTGCGAAACATATTAAATTAGTGAAAGATAAACAGTAAACAAGATATGCCATAACCGCAGAGTGTGAGATGAATATTCTTTAGCAAACAGGTTGTCCGTAAATAATTCATGAGATAAGGATAATTTCACTGCGAAAACTGTTACAGGGAAAAAATAATGCCATTACAATTCATTCGCTGACTGAAACCATTTCAGTGCATTCTCTCTCAATAAATGTCTAGCTATCCGTACAATAAATATCTGCATGGACCCTGTGCTTGGCAAACGTAGTAAGTGTTCCCATAGGCGGCGGCGGATGGGGCTGATTTGACCGGTGCGGTCAAGGTGAAAATGCCGGCACCTTATGTATATTGGCTATTTTATGCTAAGGCATAAAGGTTCCCTGACAAAGACACAAAAGCAGACGACACCCTTATGAAGCTCAGCTTATACCACGAAAAATACAACATTTATCAAGATGCCGGAACGCTCATTTGACATATTGTCGAATAGTCACCAACCTGCATAAAGGTGCCGGTATATTTATGACAAAACGTCGTTATGAAATCATCAAAGTATTAAATTCTGCTTTTATGCTATGAAGTAAAGAACAGGCCCAAAAGTTATGAATTTGCGATGACCTAACGACTATGAGGTTAAGAATATAGCTTTAGTACATCTACCATTAGTTAGTGTTTCGTATACTTTGGGGTAAGGGGGTGCCATTAGATGTTTTTCTTCCATTGAGATTATTGTTTTTTGTTGTATGAATCCTACAATTATAATTAAAAGTTCTTTCGTTTGTAAATTATCCATCTTAGGTGATGCGGCTGCGCTATGGCCACCACTGCCTCGGGATATTTTCCGAATTCTCGATAGTCCCATACTTTCCTATCCAAAGGTAATGCGATTACGTGATTGATCCATTCTTCAATGAAGCAACAGTTTTGTAGCATAATTATCTCGACAGCGAAAACAATATATTTCTTCCAATTAGAGACAATGCAGCTGAAATGTAATATTTTAGTTAGATGAAGAACTGTTGCAATAATAAATTATTACGTGAGAGCAAGGAGTTTATAGCCTAGCTGATATATAAGTGCAAGATTGAGGGGGCTGGGGCATCAGTCAGAGTGAACATGATCCACAATCCTTGGAAAGACATGGAAAATAGATTTAAAATTGTGAGCTACTCAAGCGTGTCTATATAATGTTTACTGTACAGATACTTCCAAATACAAACAAAAGTTGCCATAGCATCTAGTCAGTAGTAACATTCCTTGGAAGTTTTTTATCCAATTACGTTATAGTCTTCCTTCATTAGTTTATGTCGGTCATCAGGGCTAAATCTTATGATGCTCGCAACTGAAGAAGAGGTTTCTAAGTCACCTTCCTTCTTGTTGGACCAAACCCGTAAGATTAAACCTGTAACCCGCAATTACAAGTTGTGCTTGCCACCTGCAACACCAAGCTGTGTTGATTTCTTGGTGTAAAATGCTGAGGCTGAAACCTTTAAGCTTGTTCGACGTGAAGACAAGTCTAGAAAAATTTGCTATTCTTGCATTTGGTATTTTGCAGTTTGATACAGCCTCTAAAAAATCCTCTGAAATATGTTAAAGTCAATGAATGTAATGGTATGACTTTTTTCTAAACCTGTTTTCGTAGTAAATACGTTTTCTTATGAACCAGGCATAATTTAGGTACTTCCTTACATGAATGTATATATATGCTGAATTGAATACTACATAATTTTCATCCTGAAGCCAGTCTATTAAGAAACGCCAATGCTATCTGTACAAGAGTACTTAGCTGACTGAGCGCAGCAAAACGTTACCATGAACACCAAGATGGTGATTAATTAATCAGAATACTATTCGTTACATTTAGGAATTGCTGTGGTGAATATGTAATTTAGGGGAAATTAAACTTATGTTGATACTTGAAGCACATAATTTAAAATCTAGAAGATATGGTATGGAAGTATCTGCCATTTATATATCTTAATTGTGTAGTTATAAGATTTATTAACATCACTAAAATCAGGATCGAATGTATGTACATATTGGCTACTTATCAGAGAAAAATAATTCAGAATAAGCAGTTGCATGCTATGCAAATCTGATAGAGTATGATATAATGATTTCTTACATTAATCTTCCATGTGATATAATTGCTTTACATTCATATTCATAGAGTGTACTGTGACACTTTTATCAAGTAATATAATATAGAATTCAACTCTAGAATTGGTTGTTTATTCCTTTTAAAGAGATAATTATTTTGATTAGATTCAGTTTTCGTAATCCACAATTTTTACAAGCAAAGAATAGAAATAGAGATTAATTCTAAAGTTGTACCTAGAGTTTAAATGTAAACGTAAAAATGTTTATTTCTAAAATCTGAAAGAAAGACAAATTGTCAGTTGCAAAAACATAAAAGGCCTTCAAGAATTAAAGAAAACTATTTAATGAAAATTTAGTAACACACATTAAAATGTCTGCTTATACGTTACAATTAAGAGAATTTAAAATAAAATGAAACAGCAAACTTATTTAAGCACTTAATCACTTATTATCTTTATGGAAGCTTTTGACTGCAACCAGTCATCGATTCTTCAGATTACTACTCCGCAGTAATGTGAAAACTATTATAAATTATGATAAAAATATTTCTCTCGGACAATTAGTTTTTGGTTAGCAATCTAATTTTTTATTTTACAGTCTACATTCGTTATAACGATTGCTTGTGTCTTAAAGAAAAGAATGTTATAACGAAGCTACATTTAATATATTTTCTCACTGGGAGACTTTTTGCACCGGTTAATGTAATGAAACGGTCATTGTAATGAACAGCTGTTATAACAACGTTGAAAGTATTATTTTGTTCTCAATATTCACATGAATCTTTATTAAACGATTCTTTTTTCACACAACGCTAAGTTTTATTTCATTTAAAACATGAAAATTGCAGAAAGTAATAATAAATGGATTGAGATCTATATAACTGATACCACAAATTAAGTTACTAACTTCACCAGAAAAACATTAATATAATGAGTAACAAATATAGGATAAATCGGAAGGAAGGAAATTTCACGTCTGATATACAAAAGAACTTGCCACACTTGGTATTTAGCAGTACTGTCAAATATAAGAAAAATTATTCAAACTGTATATGAAATAAAATTTTCTGTTTCTTTACTTGTCCTCCCGATCTGAGATTATCTCGACCGGATTTGTAAATTTATCATGACAAAGAGGTAAAAACGCCTGTCGTTATCCAAGGCCTAGAGCACCTTATAGGTCATAGGCGGACATTGCCCAGCCCTGTTCCAGTTTTAACGGAGAACACTTTGGAAAACGGTTCAAAGGGTCTAATTAACTTTCTTCCCCTGTCCTCGACTTCTCGATGGAATTTTTAGTTCGACGATATTTTAAATGTCTCTATACTACAGACACTATGCATTATAAATGTCCATGCTTTCTCCGGGCATGAACCCGGATCGAACGATTTAGGCAGCTGGCATCACTAACTAATATATCGAATAAGGCTAATTATCGAAATAATCAAATTTTCTAATAGTCACATAAAAAGTGCTAACAAATAAATAAATTCATAAAACATATTAACTAATTATTAAATTTATTTTGAAATTCTGTTGCAAATATAAGTATCTATGGTTACAAAAAATCGCAGGTTTATTGTGAGACTTCTAAATGAGAAAATTGGGAGAGAATTAAATACTTTAATAAACATCTGTTTCATAATTGGCTTGCCTGTCGTATTGTCAATAACAGTTTGCAATTTGCCATCAAGAACACTAGATATTACACTGTTATACATTTTTTATCGGGCCATGTCAAAGATTCTGTGCTTGCAGCACCTCTGCCTCTAGCTTTGTCAGCGTCGTGAGACTATTCGGATGTTCATTGAAACCATCGCTGTAAGGTGTGGGGGTGACATTCGGCTTACAGTCTGGTGGTATTCTTCCAATCTGATGATACCTTATCCCAGGAGTTCTCAACCAGGGCTAGAGCAGAATTTTATAATTTTGGAGGGAGAATGTGGTCAGCCTGACTCCTACTTCCTGTTGTGCCACTGAAAAATCATCTAAATCTAAATAAATGTATATGCATTTTTGGAGTTTGGGGAAGGAAGAGGGAATGAACTTCTAGCATATGAAAGGGATGCATGGGGGGAAAAAGAACCACTGCATTAGAAAATTTTACAAAGAAAGTCATCCAAAACTCTGAATTTTTCTGGGAAAACGTATGTGAACCTACTCATCTAGTAATACATAACAGTAGAAAAATTAACTGCTGACATTTTATAAATATGTAGTTAAAAGACTGAAAAAAAATAACGAGATTTGGTGATACAGCGCTACTTGCCGACTTTGAAACTTTTAGAATGCAGGTTTGAAAATTCGAAAAATCGCCACCGATCGATTCATGCAACGGAAACGCAAAATAATGAATGAACAGATAAAATGCTCAAGCAAACATATTTTGGCTATCAGTATATGCATATTTAAAGATGTAATAGTGCTGATGAAAATTTAATCCTTGAAAAATTAGGTCAGAATACAAGAAATTCTGGAAATTATTTTACTGTGGAAAGATGCGCCATATTCAGTCATTATACAAATACTACTAATCATTATACTAGTCATTCTACAAATACTACTAATCATTATACTAGTCATTCTACAAATACTACTAATCATTATACTAGTCATTATACAAATGCTACTGCTTAACGTAATAATAAATACGGATTAAATGTGTAGCATAGATGAAGTGCAATAAAAAAATAGTCAAAGTAAGTAATCTATCTTTCACCAATTACAGTTAGAGACTGGAACCGAAATACAATAGTTTCAAAGCTACAAAGTACTGGTGGCCGACCGGTGAAACCGCTGACCGCAGTTACTTCGATGTGGATAGCTGAATATAGCAAAACACGAGGATTATTTGCCTTAATGCAGGTATGCCTTTCTGGAAGTCTTTCTAGAGGAAACAGACTCGCACTCACGTTACACGTAGGGAAAATTATGAAAACTAGCCATAAAACCAGCCCGTTTTATCTGGTTTGAAATCAGAACAAACTTCTAGCATTTAGCAATCTTTAAAAGCTCGGATACAGGTGGGGCTCAACGTGGTTAGGAATCATGATGAACGGAATGCCTGCGTGGGAGCTTTCGTGTTTTTACTCCTGCGTAAAATGAATACGAAACATTTCTCAAAGTCCTTCCTATCTTTTAAAAATGAAAATATTATAAGTTTTTCATTTGCCTACTTTTATTTTGCTCACATTTCAAGCTACATTTCGACTTTTTAAAATAAGTTCTTATATTACGTCAGAATTTTATTTTTCTTTAATTTATTTTTATCGTGTAATATATGATTGTGGTTTCCTGTACATTTTACCCCAAAATTCAGTATTTGACTAAACATCTGTTCTTCACCTTCAGATGTATCATATAAATCATTTTTAGAGCCAGTCTCTTCAGCTGAGGCGAGAATTTCTACTATTACTTCTACAACCGTAATTTCCTTTGGACTTTCATATTGTTTTGAAATCTCAAAAATTAGATATTTGAGTTTAAAACCCTAATATGTTAAAATTTGTATAAATGTATGCCGTGTAATCTTGAAACAATATCTAAACTAGACTATATGTATTTATATTACGAAATAAAGACACCGTTTTAGAGTCAGGGAGGCACTGAACAAAAAGGAGGTGAAACTAATAACTATCGAGAATCTGGTTTCCTAATTATTTTTACTTTTATTTCAGTTTAAACTAAAGTTATTTGTAGCTTCCAAATATAAAAATATTTAAAAAAAGATTGAGAAAGAATGAGCGGCAACAATTAACATTTAAGTGATAGATAAATAATAAACAAACCTTAGAGACTTTGATTAATATCAACTTAAAACAACTGACTGCAATATTCTGCAAGACGAACCTAGTGCAAATATTCTCTCGACCTAATAAGATTATAGAAGAAAATGAATTCTTAACCCTATGTTTAGTGCAATACAAAAGTCACTGATTTGAGCGCAATGTATCTACTAGATCTGTAGATGGCATTTATTTAATTTAATTTAAAATAACATGTAATCGTGCGTATTGTTTATATAATATAATGTTTAACACTTACTACAATTGTATTTGGTACAGAAATTAAATAGTAAAATCGACAAAACATAAAATCATATAAGTAAAACAAAATTTATCGATAAAGAGGCTCAATTACTCTGTCAGAATAAATGTAAAATAAAACATCTAATTAATAAGTTTCAATAACAAAATTATACTTAAATTTATTTCTGGAATGCCTGAAATAGCGCTATACAAAAAAAAAATCTTTCGAATAGTGTCGCAACGAATCTTGAAAGAAAGTTCGGCTTTTTTGGTAATTAAAAACGTTATTTCATTTTTGCTTCTTTATTTTTGTTACATTTTAGTAATTTAACAGTCAGTGTTATAGCTATTTTTGAGGCTGCGGAATCATCTATATTTTTCCTTTATATTAAACATTATATATATAATATATATTAAACAGAAATACATAAAAAATTGAAAATACTTTTGCTCATTTAGATATGCATTCTATAAAAAATTTATTTCTAAATCAGTGTAAATAGGAATCTGAAAATGCACATATCTGCAGTATTTGACAATGCAGAGCTGTTTTGAAGATTTCATGAAATTTTAAAATTCTGTCAGATGGTTCGTCATAGGTGATCATATTCGTCATAAAGGTCTCCATTGGCGGATCAAAAGCTCCGTTTATTTTCTGATTACCTATGGAATATTAGCAGATATCATTTTGCTACTAAGCATTTTTAGATGAGTAGATTCACATATATTTTTGAGGAAATAAGTAATGTTCAAGATTGGAAGACCTTACTTGTTGGTGGGTTGTTTTAACCAAAATAATTACTTGCACAAAACTTGCAAAAATGAAGTATTCTTTTTGAATTGACCTGTAGATCACGTAGTAATTCGGATCATTAAAACTTCGCAGATCATTTTAGAAATGTAATGAAGGATCTGTTAAAAGTAACATAATTATATCATTTGTTGTTATTTAATTTTATGTGAATAGTTTTGCAAATAACAATACTGAAACTATAAATGCCCTTTCTTCTGTCTGCTTTTAGCTCTCATGTATGCCAGTATCTTTGGAAACGTATCGGCAATCATTCAGAGGCTGTATTCAGGTACTGCTCGGTACCACACTCAGCTTTTACGAGTGAAGGAATTTATACGCTTTCACCAAATACCAAATCCTCTACGACAACGGCTGGAAGAGTATTTTCAGCACGCTTGGACTTACACGAATGGCATAGATATGAATATGGTGGGTTCTTCTTATTCTTTAAAGAGTTTTTTCTTATTTTTAAGCACAATGGTGAAGGGTGGGACATGGCTAAATTTCTGTTCGCACCGTTCGTTCTGTTGTGCCAACGACTTTATTTAAAGACGATGAGATTTCCTGACTTGTATTTTAAATACCCTGCGGTAAATCAAAGGCGTTTATCTTAGAAACAGAATGCCCGAGAAAAATTTTTATTGCTACAAAAAATCATGGTATTGGAATAAATGGAATGTGGTTTGTAGTTAAAAAACAAAAATGAAATAAAAAATTATTTCAAAACTTTATGTGCAAATATAAAATGTAATTATTAACCTTATCATTTAAATGTTGCGTGTATTTATTGGATAGATGCACGTTATTTACCAATTTAATAATTTTAAAGAAAAATGCATTCATTAGCAGCAAATTTTTAAAGAAAAATTCATTCATTGTATTTCTTATCTAGTTTTGGCAACAACAGAAGAAAATTCTGAACTTGGATTTGAAAACCAAATGTAGGAAATGAGAAACTTCTATTGTATAAGAAAAAAACCATTTTGGGCAGGATTTACGTAAAATGCGTTCTTTAGTGTGCGTCGTATCGTGGAATGAGTAACTAAGCAAAATTTTAAGTCAATTCGGTATATAGTTTCGGAGATCTCGTGATGAGTCAGTGGTATTTCGCTTATATATGTAGAGATAATCAATTTTAAAGTGAAATAAAAGTTGTCGAAAGAAAATTAAATTTAATGCCAAAAACAAAGGTAAAGCTAAGCTTCGGAATTCCATCCAATAGCCTTTGTCCACTATAGAGAAATGCGTTTTGTACATTTCCGTTGGTCTCTCCATCGTACTTGGATAGTTTTAGAGAGGAGAGGATCGGGACGTCATAAGTTCGAATTTAAAGGTGTTAGAATTGTGACCAGCTGTCGTTATGGATTTCCTTAAACTGCCAATTTCCTTGATGACAGCAGAAGAAATTCTGTCATCAATTTGTTGTTGGACAGCAGAAATTCTTTCTCCGATTTGCTGTTCGACAGCAGAAACTCTTGAATTTCTCCAAATCTACCTTCAACGGTTTCTATTCTAACTTATGTAGCCTCAAATTTGTTTTGTATTGTGGCAGAAATTTCTATTTGCATTTCCTCTTGATTTTATTCAATCTTTTATTGGCTCGTTTTCGTTTCTGCTTTAATGTATTCTTGGCCCTTTTCCATTTCTTCTTTGACAAGTTGGCGGCCCCTTTCATCTTTTCTTGGAACTCATAAAAGGCAATCACCAGCTGTCTTAATTGCTCACGCAACCCTCTTGTCACCAATCCCACTTCTGACACCAAAAATCCCACTTCCAATCCCACTTCTGACACCAAAAACTGTTGCGTGTGTACGGATTCGTAACAGATTGAATGCACACAGATGATGAAATTTATTTTACAAAAAGGAACACTGTACAGTTGTAAATCTTTACACAACAACACCCGTACAGCTCTTCTCAGTATCACAGAGTACAATCAGTAGCTAAAATTCAAACTACTGAGGACGTTAGACATAACGCAATGCAAAGACAATGCTTATACAGGTCAAGCTCCTACGGAGATCTTTCAGTACTCCGAACTTGTACTCATCTAAACAACTCTTACCGAGAAACTGATGCTCTTCCCGCTCTTACGTAATTTCTCCCTGCCGCCGAGAAATCTCTAGCACCTTCCAATTCTCGAACTTACTGGAAGTTATTATTACAGTTATACAGGGTCCGGACCAAAATGTCGCCAAATGGTCGCCCAGTTTGGCGAGTTTTGTAAATATCTCGCCAAACTTGGCGGTAAATTCAGTCTCCAAAATCGTCCCAACTTGGCGATATCGCGCCAGTTTAGGCAGATAGCTATTTGCTCAGTGTTGAACCTACTTTCTTTTCCAGAAAAGCTTGAGCCTCTTTAGATTTTCATATTATATTATACAAAAGAAATAATATAATTTCACTAAAGTTATTTACATATGTACAAAATTCATAACAATATTTATGTAGCATTTCTTACCTATTTATTGACTATGTTGTTATTATAATATGTAATATATAGTATATATACAATATATGTAATATACTATATAGTCTATAAATATGATGTTCATAAAACTGATATGGTGCAATTTAATTGATAAATTAAATATGGTAAGACATTAGCAATATTAAGTAGTAAATACTATAGGATCTTATTCTCTTTGGCCACTAGATCCTACTAAGGAACCTGACGACTTCTCTCATAGGCGTGAAATAATACCAGCACAGAAGAAGTATGAAAATAACCTTTTATTATTATCAACTAGGAACAGAAAGGCACGTACTTCGTGCTTAACAAACACACCGACAACTTGCGGTGGAATTTAAGCGTTGTTACACAAATCAATTCAAGTCTAAAGAGTAGCGCTGAACTAGCACTTTAAGTTAAGTCTAACTAGGCTGACTCGACAACTTAACCGTGCGTGATAATTATTTAAGTGCCCAAAAGGCGTATCAGCAACTCCGCATAACAGCAAGGTCAAAATCGAAACGTTTGCAGGCTAGCCAAAACACGCTCTGAGTAAACTCCAAGATTCACCTCTATATACTCGCTTCACTTAAATTAGCATCCTGACGGGGAAGTGCGAGGGGAAGTTGAGGAGTTCAAGAAAGATAACAAAAATGTGAATAATTGGTTAATTGAACTGACGGAAACCCTACAATATAAGAATAATATTAAAAATTTTGAGAATTATTAAAATGCATTGTATATTTGCAGTATACCTTTTCTTTCTCACCTATTAAAAAACTATAGTATTTTGAAATTTTAACCTCAAATAGTAAAACAGCAACGAAACCATACTATACTTATACAATATAGTTTCAAGAAATAATAAACTAATAAAAAATGTTGCTTTAGACCGTACCACATCATAAACAATACAACATCATTTCCTGCTGCGTTTGAGGGCATAATAAATGTGTTCATGATGAATTGAGAAAAAAACATTGGATTGACGTGAGAAAATCTTACTAGATGCGTTCGAGCTACTGTATTTCACCATGTTTTGAATAGTTCTTTCTTATTATATAAGCTATAAATTGTTTATTTCTTTATTTTAAAAAATATTGGGGAAGGGCACAATAAATAACGGATACACTGAATCAGCCGATACGGAGATTTCAGAAATAATGCTTTTTTTCAGATAAAGTTATCAGACTTTTTTCAGAGATACTGGTGTTTGCGACACGTTTCATAATTTATGATGTTTTCATAATTTCGGGTTTTTATTCATTTACTTATAAATAAAATAAAGATATTTCATTGCCAGCACCAAGTCATTCCTGACAGCTTAGTGTCTTTTTAAATGTATAATACCTACTGTTCTTCATAACAGTTTCTTTTTTATGAGGAATCCTTTTTTTTTATGTTCTATATAACAGTTTTTTCTCCCTTTTTTATGCTCACAATTTCAACAACCTAAAGTTTCTGAAAAGCATTTTCTTCTTGTCGGATGGCAATATTGTATAAATCTAGAATTTTCTCATCGTTATTTTCCTCTTTACAGGTTTTAAAAGGTTTTCCAGACTGTTTGCAAGCGGACATATGTCTCCATTTGAACCGGAACTTGCTCAATAACTGCTCCGCTTTCAAAGGAGCCAGCCCTGGATGCCTTCGAGCTCTTTCCTTGAAGTTCAAAACGACGCATGCGCCACCTGGGGACACATTAGTCCACCGGGGAGATGTGCTGACAGCTCTTTATTTCCTCTCTCGAGGAACGATAGAGATCTTAAAAGACGATGTCGTTATGGCCATTTTAGGTGAGTTCTTCTGACTCCCTTGGCAACAGTTGCTTTCCACCTGCCCAATAAATTTCTTGATCAACCAACTACTTTTATAGTAAAATACTTTCAGGCAAACAGCGAAAATTCATTATTTTTTATTATTTCTAATAAGATGTTTTAGCATCGTGAAGCTTAATTTTGTCTCATCAATATTTCAAACAGTAGAAATTTTACCTCGACCTGTAATGATTTAGTGCAACAAATATTTTAAAGCAATGCTGGAAAAATTCCTATAGAGGATGGTGAGCCAGCCCATACCTTTATTTTCAGTCCGTAGCAAGGTTAATACAGTACATTATTACTATTGATGCAGTACATTATTACCCGTTCCATTCGGGCAGCAGTGGCAGCTTCAGCAGAAGTAGAACTGCAAGAATAAAAGAAGTGGAAATAAAATATTTTTAAAAAATCTGAAAGTTTTCAGATTTTATATTACACCCAGACAGGCAGGTTTCCTTTTTCCACTTGCAGACACATATACATTTCGAGAGCATTGGGCTAACGCCACATTGGACGAAAAATATTTTTAATCTCTCTCAATTCGGAGACAATACCTTTTTCAAGGGAATAAAAGCTATTGTTATTATTTCTGCTGCATCCTTCCTTAATCAACTCTTACCAAAGCTTGTTTTTAGAGCTTACCTTGTTTCACAATTTGGTTATAAAGGCACAGGCTTTTAACGCCATTTAATGACTATTTTATCAATTGATAGAAAACGCCGATTACTAGATACTTTGCAATATTTTCTTACAATATATATATATATATATGTAAGATACATAAAAACTATATAAAAGATTAAATTAGCAAAGTTAATTTCCCTTCTCAATTCTACAAATAGTAACCTCTGCCTGCACTGCGTAATTTCTAGATTAATCCATGTCATATGACTCTTGCATAATTCTGTTGATGTAAATGGAACTAAAACTCGAGCAGCCAATAGTAATTTTATAGCATTATTAAATATCCAATCAAAATGCATTGAGAACCAGAACTAACTCAGTCTGAATTAAGATTTCACCCTGAACATAACACACACTTGCTTTCTATGCTTTCGCCTAGCTGGACTGCAGTCTACCTGCTCCTTCTATCTTACTGCAAATTTATCTAACATGTAAACTTTTTGGAATAGGCACATTTAATGTGCTGACTTGTTTCTGGCCGTAATATGTTTACTGAAATAAAAAATTAAGATTTAAACTGCCTTCGCCTCCAATCTCTTATTAATTATGGATTAACACTTCTACGCCATCAAAATTCCTGCTGGTCATTACTTCTGAGTTTTTTTTATCATATATACTATATAACAGAGATATAATAATAGAATATTTATCTTTAATGAAATTAAAACAAAAAGTAATATTATTTTAACTCAAGAAGCAAATGATATGCTTTTAAAATTTATAGACTTAGCTCTTTATGAAAGCATATTCTTAATATATATGTAGGATGTAGTTGTACTTACGAACTCTAACAACAGTCTTATTCATAACAACGGTAGTAACATTTAATAATTTAATTACGAAAACACGCGAACATAACAGACGTAATTAACACAAAGATGATGCATAGAAATAAAAAGAAATGAGAAGACAAAGTCAATCTATGGCATCATAAAAACGGAATAACTTCATAAGGAGACTTCAGAGTCCTTCGCTTTCGAACTTCATCGTTACTCCTGTCTCCGTCTCTCTCTGAGAAGTGATCACGTGATCTTACTGGTGAGCGCGTTGCCATTCTTATAAAAAGAAGCATATCACCACACATACGTATATACATATTCTTTCATACAGAGTTAAATCTATACTTTTTTAAAAGCATATCATCTGCTTGTTGAATTAAAATAATATTATCTTTTCTTTGAAATATCAATAGAATATATATATAATAATATATAAATGTATTTCTCATCATTATTTGTGTTCTGCACCGGGGCATAGGATGAGACAAAATTGGAAGTATAAAGTGATACGTTATTTAGCATCCATCTCACAAGCATTCCTCCTGTATCTCGAGAAGCCCTATTTATAGATAAGTGTGCATCATGGTGCTCATTCAGTCAGCGATATTAATTGAAATCACGGGGTGACCCTATCTTCTCATCAGGAATGTTCGTAAGGACTTTATGTAATATGACAGATTTATGAGTTTGGCGATTTGGCGGGCGCCAACAGGTTAATATAATTAAGACACAAAGCAATAGCTATTGACAGGGGCTTTTCACCCAACATTATTAATCAAGGAGTTAAAAATTTCTTCAACACACTAAAGGCACACTCTTGTTTTAGGAGATTATAAAAATTATGTTGTTCATTCCTTCTTTCCATTAATTAGCTTAAAGTTGACCTGTTTTGCAGAAAATTTAACTTCGGGTCGTTTTCTCCCATCAATAAATTCGAGTTCCATACTCAAGAACCCATTCGGATAGAAAATTTCCTGGGTTTTATAGAATTCCTTGCCAGTGTTTTTAATTTACATTGGCCAAACTAGAGAGCCTTAAATTTCGGTCAGGAACGGAGGCATATGTTAGAAAAAGGAAACACAGAAGTCTTCTGTTGCTCAACATTGTTGGTCCGGAAAATCACCTTTCAATTTTCTGCTGCCAAAAATTATTCAAAAAACATCTTCCATTGGAGAATTGAATTTTCTAGAGGCATTTCACATTCAAAAAATCTTTCTGTTCTAGTTAACGATCCTAATTCCAATCCATCTTTGCCTTCGGCCTTTAAAGAAATTATGTTTTGTTCTGGTTTCATCAACAGATGACGCCACTAGCTTATTTTCTGTCCAGTCATTATATCCTATCTCGTGCATCTGCGCTTTTGCTTCTGAGGATGGTGGTTCAGTGAAACCATCGAAACTAGTCCTGTGAAAATTTTAAAATATAACGCTGATTTTTGTTGTTATGATAAAGAAAGGATTTCGCAAATATTTAGGAACAGGGATGCAATTTAGGTAGAGAATCGCCAACACATTATTAAGCAATATTATTAGAATTTAATTTAATCAATTCATTTAAAAATATCATTACATATATATATATGAAATATACAAAATATGCGTAATCATCACAGCAAAATCCATCTCTGCCCTTTTTTTAAGTGCGTTGAATTGTTTGTTTAAAAAACTTAGCAGAATAAGCTAATAGTAACTATCGATAGATTCTTCCGTGGAAAAAAAATCATCTGATCTACATAAAAGGTCAATTTAAATGCTAAGATTGTCACAATGGAAAATACTTAACCAACCTGTTTTCCTTAAGAACAATTTATTCGAAATTTTTCAACTCCTTCTTAATAGAAGCTTTGTTCCTTTCAGGCAAAGACGATATCTTCGGAGAGAATCCCTGCAGCTACAGCACTGTAGGTAAATCTCGCTGCAACGTCCGTGCCTTGACGTACTGTGATCTGCATAAGATAAATCGCGAAGACCTACTGGACGTGCTAGACATGTATCCAGAATTCTGGGAATCGTTTTCCACCAATTTAGAAATCACATTCAATCTTAGAGATGTAAATATACATTTGTTGTCTAGTTCTCTTCTTTTATTTAATATGAGATTATTAAACTGCATTCGTGAAATTTTTCTTTTTATTACTTCACCAGTAATTATATTTTGCTGATTATTTTTGAAAATATACTTAATTTTAATGAGAGCCGGATGCAGCTGAAGGGGTAATTTGTTTTAACCGAAATTTCATTTTTTTTATAAAACAAATTTGTTAACTAAATTTTTAATTTTATTTATTCTTTATAAAAACATGTACAGTGGAACCTCGAGATATGAGCACCTCTAGATACGAGAAATTCGAGATACTAGGAAAGTATGAGTGAAACTTTGTCTCAAAATGCGAGCATTGACTCGAGTGACGAGCAGTGAGACAGGCTGTTGGTATGCGTGGAGCCACTTCCGGAACCGGCTCGAGTCGGGTAATCCCCTGGTCAGATCACTCGGTGTTCTTTGATCAACGTGTTTTTGCGCTTGTGAGTCAATTGTTTATTACATTTAACGTGAAAATATTTATTTCACGATGCCTCCCAAGAAGCGTGTTGCCTCAGATAGTGCTGCAAAGAAAAATATAGAAGTTATGGACGTTGAAGTTAAGAAAGAAATTATAGATAAACAAGCGCAGTATAAGAGTGATGGAATTGGCAAAGACTTACGACCTTTCAACATCGATCATTTGCACTATTCTGAAGAAGCGGAAAGAAATTAAGAAATTTGATGGAGCCAAAGGAGTTACCGTTACTTCCAAGCACCATCCAAAAACTCTAAAGATTGTCGAGAAGTGTGTTGGTGTATTAAAGAGAAATAATTAAAAGGTCTTTGTCGGAAGCTATCTTAAAGGTTATATTATTTACCAGTGTCGTTTTTAATGATTGAAAATTGATTTTTATGTTTATATTTTTGGGGGTTGCGGAAACGGATTATTTATTAATGGATTCCTTACTTTCAATTCGGAAGTTTGTTTCTAGATACGAGAAATTCGATATATGAGCTTAATGCTGAAACGCATTAAACTCGTATCTCGAGGTTCCACTGTATATAATAATAATGAAGCAAAGGAAAAAATAACAATAATAATGAAGCAAAGGAAAAAAACTTCAATTTATATTTATTTTCTGTGTGAAATCCAAAGGCCCATAGAAAGTGGTCCCATTTGGCCCCGCAGAAGCCGTTAAATAGAAAGTATATAGTAATTACAGCATACTGAATGGGTATTGAAACTGCCAGTTACACCAAATAATCTGAATATCAAAATTCCTATAAAAATTAGGGAACTTTTCATGGTCATTTATATTTTTCTTGCATAGTTTTCAACAGCGCAAAATAATACTGTTTACATATAAATATCTACCCAAGCAAACTGATTATTATTACTGCAAAAATTCAAAATTAAAAGTATTTATCTTTTCACAAGTATGAAATAAAAAATAACCAACTCCGTATTTTAAAATCTTTAAGTAAGATTTAAATCACAGTATAAGTTAATTTGCTCCATTTGTAAATTTTTTGGGTCGTTATCCACGCTCGTTTTTAATTGTAGTGAATATAATATAAAATTGGACTCAAAATTTATTAAAATTTTAAACCGTTCTTTTAATTCTCATAATAATTAATGTATGGGAAATGCTAATTAATGTATGGAAAGAGATAAATTGCTTTGGGGTCGTATGCGGCCCTCAGGGCGCAAGTTTGATACCATTGTTCTAAAATAATTTGAATTGTTTCTTCCGAGTTATTAGCTTTTTAACCATTTTATGATTTATTTGTTTGAGCTCTAACAGAGAACGAACTTCGCCTTTTGTAAAAGGCAGTTTGCCATTATAGCAGCTCGTATGAGCACAGTAGTCAACTTAAGAACATCAACTTTTATCTCTACTGCTGCTGCCTGAATCCGCGCCATATTAATTTGAATGTTAATTTAGAAGTCAAACAACAAAAATCAGCATTCTATTTTCAAATTTTCACAGCAACGCTTATTTTTGTTCTTTGACTTCTAAATTAATATTTGTTCGGCGTGTTATTGTTTCTTAATTAATCTGAATGTCTTTTATAAAAGTATGAGGAAAATGTATACATAAAATATTCGCTTACAAATTTCCACAATTTCTACATGTCATATTGGACAAATCTTCAAATATACTTGAATGATGTACAGACAGTTTTAGATGGTTGTTAGCATTGCATTCAGAACGGCCTTGTGATTGTGGCTAGTTTTGCCTCAGTTTACAAAGGCCTCTTCAGTCTGAAGTTTGCAGAGATTTTTCCGTATTGACAACATCGATAGCATTAGATCGGTCATATATTCCTACAAATTAAAACGTTCACAATTTAAGCACGCTCTTCTGGAATTTCACGCCGGGGTAATTTCCAGCGCCTAGAGATGCGAGTTCTTTTTGTATATACCAAAATTTCACCTAAATTGATTTATCTATCGTTATGCTACCGTTTTGAGCTATAAAGGAATCTTTTTAATTCCTCCTTTGTTGTGTTGCAAGATCCGTTGTAAATAAAATTCCTAAATGGACGATTTTATGAATATTTAACTTATGTTTGTTTAAGTTCTTGAACTTGGTTAATTTCACATTGAAGAAATCTGAGAACAGCCGCCTTTGCTGTCTCTTTCAGAAGATCGCCTTTAGTAATTATTTTAAGGTCTTTTAATCCAAATCTTACGTTTTGTGGTATCTGTATTTTAAAGTAGTGTCTTCTTCACGGTTTCAGATTTTTCCTTTTAGAGAGTATAAAACGTCACATACTTTTAAGGGCGTTTCTTTTTAGGCAAAAATACGTTCTTGAGCCAGTTGTTTGATTTTATCGGAATATTATCTCTTTGGTCTGTGATTTGAAGTTTACCTTCTAATCTTGCCATCTCAAATACACTAACCTGTTAGTAAATTAAGCATCAACTGAAACTGATATTTAATATCAGAAGTAACAGTTGACGTTTTATCAACAAGAATAGTCTCTAAATAGAATAATCTAAGTGAACGAGTGAGCGCCACCAAGGAAGACAATTGACCTGGCCTTAGCCTCACAGTGTGATATCTTCCTGGCAGAAACCATCTACTCTCTGCTCCACCCTGCTCCGGAAACTCAGACGAATAGACGGCAAAGAGCCTCATAAAGTCTACATGTAAGCTTGGAAGTTGTTGTACGGGGAAAGAGTATCCTGTTAGGAACTACTTAAAATTAAGCAAAGAAGCAATCAAAAGACTGTTAAGAATCGCTGTTAGAATAGACAGTACAACTTCCACTAGATAATCTTTTGTGTTTATATCATAGGAAAGTTGACGATTCACGTTTCTTTTTTACACAATGTTCACAGGGTGCCGCTGACTCATACCCTAGGGTTCACATAAGTCAGTCCTAGCACGCAAGATTTGGTCCCAACTTTAGACCCACAAGTGAGGGAGTTCCCCATAGAAGGTGGTCCCATTTGGCCCCGCAGAAGCCGTTAAATAGAAAGTATATAGTAATTACAGCATACTGAATGGGTATTGAAACTGCCAGTTACACCAAATAATCTGAATATCAAAATTCCTATAAAAATTAGGGAATTTTTCATGGTCATTTATATTTTTCTTGCATAGTTTTTCCATTTTGATTTTTAGGTTATTAATTCCGCTCTGTTATTTTTAGACTGAACAAGCAGGGGTAGATCCTGAGCTTTTTAGGCATAAACAAGTGTACAAAGAGCCAGATTCAATAGATGAAGGTAAAAAGCATTTTTTCCCCTCATAATTCACTCTTAAATTCCGTATAAATTGTTTGAAAGAAATTTGATATTTTTTCTTTAAAGCGACTTTTATATGTTATTATTATTAGCAGTTAATAAAATACTCCTAGTTAATGCTAATAAAACGGTAATTAAAGTTGTATCACAGTATCCTAATATGTTTATGAAATTTTGGAATGTATCAGTTTTTAAGGACTTTTAATTTTCTCTGCTTACAGTTGGGTATTATACATAGCAAAACTATAATAATAACTACGAATAATCGCATTAAATGGGAACACAATCTGTCCAGATAACTAAGTTATTTTGTAGAGCGAGCAAATTGCGTATTCACTGTAATATAAAAAAAAGTTTTTTTAAATAAATAAAACATTTTTCGCTTATTGTATTTCATTAATGAAAAGTAAATGTTAAAATTATTTCTTATTTATCTATACGTGTAAATAATATATTTCTGTTTAGAAATTGAACAGCTTTATCAAACTAAAACAAAATAATTAAATTATTTTTTATGCAAGCCCTAAAACTATGCACATTAGCTTTTTTTTATATTTCATATAGTAAAATTAAACAAAGAAATTTTTCAAGTGTGACGAAAGCAAAGCGCATAATCTGTTTGTATTTAGTTATAAAATCACGTATTAAAAATTAAATCATAAGATTTTATTAAAATTCACTAAAAATAAAAACAGCTTTTATAGCTATCGCAATTATTCAAATGTTATTAAAAATAAAACTGTAGGGCTACTAGAAGAAAGCGACAGATTAAATCAAATTTGTCAATGACAAATTTAAATGAACTGAATCTTGTCATTTTTATAAATATCATTTCTCTGCTATCATTTCTATATCCTTTAAACAAATTTCCTTCCTTTAATGTTCGATAACAGTGCTCTTATTTTCATTCTTACATGGCCAATAATGTTGTAATAGTTAAAAATGTTTTCATTTTTAATCTTATATATACTGTTACGAATATTGTATATAGCCTTCGGCCCCTATGCGACTGCATTCCTTGCATACCCTTATTTACGCCACTGCTCTGAAGTATTTCTTTTGATAAAATAAGTTTATCAACATATCATCAGAGCTGCGTGCATTCAATTTATTACGAACCCATACGCACGCAACAATACAACGATAAATAAGTAAGTTATAAAATATGAAACCAAACTTGATTTTAATTAGCTATAAACCTCTTTTATTTTTCATTTAATTTGGGAACTTCATCTCTCAGCCTAGAAATAGCATCATACGTCTAAACTGCGTCATTCAAATTTATCATGCGTTACGTTTAATGCAGATACCTCTTAACCAACACCAAATTGCTAACCAAAACTTGGAAACTGAAACTTTTGATCCCCTCCCTTCTTTCTCTGAACTGCTGCGTCACTTTTCGTTCAGTTGATTTTCGAACCTACAAGGATGTCTCAAGTTCGTGGAACTCCCAATGCAGAGTTTATTACAACTAACTATCATCATTTAACTGATGGATAAAATAAAAAGAAAGTCTTCATCATGACCGGAATTTCGAATCAGATCAAGGTTATTGTAACATCGAATATATGGTGCACGAAAATTCTAATGTAGGTATTTTGACACAAAATTGGACTTTTTTCAGAAATGACATGTCAGCTTTATCGATATTTCGATTCTATGGCTCAAATTATGCCAGATTGCCAAATTTTGTAAAAATCGCACAAGTAGCTTTTAAAAAATTAGCTCTCAAAATTTTAACTCCTCCATGTTAATTGAATTCCGTATCAATATCACTTTTTATATTAAACTTTTTTTATTCTTCTATCACATTTCGAATTTTAGGTTCATTTAAAATCCAATTCACCCAGTTTTTATGATTTATTTTTAAATTTTGCATTTTAAAATAATTTTTATAAATTTTTCGAAAACAATTTTGAATTATAACCTATAAAATTTTTACCATCATCTTAAAGTAGATGTATTTCTAAGAATATCTTCGAAACGTTAGAGTTTTTGATTCAATATTTCCTAAGATATACGTGAATTTACATATTGGCGAGTTTTGAAGTTTTGCATATATGTTATAAGCGATGATAATCTCAAATGCGATTTACGCACTTTGTTAAAATTATATTTGAATGAAAGATGACCTTTATTCCGCTCGTCCAGAATGAAAAAAAGGAGAGGGAAAAAAGGTTGCTGTAAATAAAGAAGTTCTCCAAGTGAATTATTCTTGGCGCAAACTGGAAAAAATAAGCCAAGATACATTTTTGAATTTCTCAGTAAATTTCACACCAAATTTTACGAAGTTTAATATCTAGGCATAATTTGAGACATAGGAGCGAAACATGAAAAAAATTAGCATATCATTTCAGAAAAAGGCCGATTTTGTGTCAAAATACCTACATTAGAACAACGCTATATATAAATCTAATGTATATCCTAAGTCGCGCTTTCGAGACATGAAAAACGTAATTTGAATTTCGTCAATAAGCCTAGTAGAACGAGACATACAGAACTGTCCCTTTTTTCGCAGTGTTGTACTTCTGAATCCTTTGTTAGGACTTCACGTTGCACATAGCAAGCGAGACGTTTGCACAAGCATCTGTAATACGGCTTTGAAGGTCCTGCAATGTTTGCGAAGGGATCACAAGCAACTGCTGTTTGAGGTATCCCCGCAGGTGAAAAGTACATTTTAATCAGCTCAGATGAACGTGGACGGCATTCTTCGAAAACACCCTACCCGATTATTTGTTCTCCGAATTCTTGTGTCAGGTATTACTTCACTAGTGTCCTGAGCACAGGTGCACCGTCATGTTGGAACCATGCATTCCGAAGTTGAAGCAATGGCAGATTCTCAACAAAATTGGGTATTGCGTCTTGCAAAAGTTCTAAATATCGTGAGGCCGTTAACATACCGTGGTAAAATATTGGGCCAATTAGTCTGTTATTGTAAATTTCACACCAAACATTCATTGAGAACTGTATTTGATGTCGTACTTCAGCTGCGCACTATATCTGCCAAGAATGGTGGCTGGTTCATGACGAAGTTGCACGATGTGAAATGCCTCTCGACGCTCTCCTTCCAATAATGCCTGTTGACGTGGTAGCAGGTATGGGTGTGCATTTAATTCGTCTAGGATTTTCCAAACGCGACTTTTGGATAGGCCACAGTTTTGACTTATCTCTCTTGTGCTGCTGTTTGGATAAGTGGGTGCATCTATCATATGTTCGGATGCATCTTCCGGTTGCACTTTCCACTTTGTCTTAGTTGGTCTGCTAGATCGAAGTCGGGTAGTCACGCAGCCTGCCTCCTTTAAACGTTTCACAACCTGTAGAATGGTTTTGTGTGAAAGATGTGGGTTTTCATGAAAACGTTGCCTATACGATCGCGCTGCTTATCGGACCTTCCGTCCACATCCACCGTAAAGTAGAACCACTTCACAATAATAATTTTTTGAAAACAGCTCCATGACTACGAGCTTCAACATACAACCCGGAGGAGATCTTTTTCATAGCCGTCTCAGGTGAACAGGTTTGACATTTTATACTCTATTTGCAAAATGCACAAATTTTGCCCACCAAGCTCAATTTGCGTTCAATCGTTTTGCGACACGGCTGTGCACAGTCTGCGTATTGTCTACTCTGTGTATAAGGGCAATGAGTACCAGAAGGCACCCCGAGAGGTCTGAATCACAGTCGTCTCGATTATGAATTACAAACGATACCACTGTGCCGCGATACGGGCTCTTTTTCATTCGACAGATAATCTTTTCTCTTTTCGTTCAAGTTGCGCGACGTCACAGTTTCGGAAATAGCGAAGACACCAATGTGCGTTTTCAGCTTTCTGTGTTTTTTTTTTTTTTTTTTTTTTTTTTTCATTTATATCCACAAGTTGTCTTTTCGTACTAAATCGATGATATTGTACAACTTTTTAATTCACGTTTTCCTCCTATCTCATATAGTTTTCAAGGTCAGAATGCTAGTTTCGCCCTTTCCTATTAAGTAGAAAAGGTCTCATAAGCGGACCCATCTAGTGCACAGCTATTTTACTATACTCAAACACCACTTTTACGACTGCAGCTGCGAGGCCTTTCGGTAGTTCGCCGGGTGGTACCAGACTTTAGTAGGCACCCTGTATGTACTATATATGTAGGATCGGTATTTACCATCCAGGAGCATGATGTCTGTGAATTTACTTCCGAGATGGCTATCTAGGAGGCTAATAAACTAGTCCGATTTATTAAAATTCAAATCTTTAATGGAAACATGAATAGTTGCTTAACTAAAAGTATGAATTTTGAAACAAATCGCTGTTCTTTATCGTTTTTACCTAAGTCAGCGGGGAAAAGTAAAAACGTATGAATAACAAGCTTTATTTTACTTAGAAAGACGAAAAAAAGGAAAAGGGGAAAAAAGGTTGGATGATTAGAGGTACGGATGATAAAAGGTACGGATGATTAGAGTTCTACTGTAGTTTTATGCGGAAGAAAAATTTTCAAATACAAATGAAGGTATTTGTTTGATAATTTTTAGTTCAGTCTGATAAATTTGAATGAATGTTTGCTTGAAGTGTATCAGAATAGATGAAATTCAAATTCGTGTCTTTGCTTGGCGAGAACCAAGCTACTGAAGCAAATATAAACTTATTACTTTGAAAGTAGTCCATTATTTATTACGGTAATATTAAACTTTAAGCAATAAACGTCGAACAAAATCTAGAAACAAAAATCTTGAGGAGAGAGAGATTCAGCATTGTTACACATTGGGCTAATTTACAGAGCATATCATATGCATGAAAGCTGTAATATTTTAGAAATTATTATCAGTGTTCTAGAAAATGGTGAACGTATAATACAATAACATTTATTTTGATTAATGAAAAGAAAAGCATTACAAATTTTGTACCTAATTCATCCCAATCATTGTTTCGATTTTTCACTGGCGATTTTATGTCTCGATTTAATTAACCCCCCTTAACATTTTGTGAGGAACAAGACTAAGCATGAGCATTAATGATATTGGCATTTACATTAACAATTGGTTTGATCTCTTTTTGAATATCCTGGTTATGATTCTAAGGGAAAAGATAAGAACTAGAATAAATATGGTTTTCAAAATAGTAGGACTTTACATGGTTATTTTTATTTAATGAATATCATTATTTCAGCTTTTACTTAATTCATAATAAACACATTTTCATTAATAACAGATGAGTATATAATTTAGTTACCAGCTGCGGACAGTAAGTGTCGCTATTTGCACATCCACCAAAAATCACTTACAGCTAAAAGCATCTTTCATTATTAATGTTACCTTTATTATAGCTATGTTAATATTTTGAATTTCGAAGCCGCTTAGTAGAAGAAAAGCCCATAAAATAATACAGATAAATTTAAGATTGTAACACTAAAAAAGTGGTCTATTTTATAAATTACAATTCGAATACAGAAAATATTTATATTTCATTCTCTCCTCCTTTTTTTTTTTTTTTTTTTTTTTTCATAGGAGAATCAAATAAATCTAAAGACACGAAAACAGAAATGTTACAAGTGCATACAAATTCATCCATATTCATCCATATTTTAAAATGAATAACGTAGTAGTGATTTATATATATGTCATGACATGAATGATTTGGAACTTGGTGGTGGCGTAATAGATGCCTAGAGAAGAAACTTGACAAGACAGACATGGCCGAACTCAAGATAATTTTATTATTGATGAAAGCAATTCTGGATTTGCAATATTTGGTTCACATACGGACGAGCGCCTTATGCTCCCTACATTTTTGTTAGCTTAGCACATATTCAGTGAATAAAGAAAGAAGCCAAAAAGCATTTTGCCAGGAGGAAAGCATAAGCGAAAATGTCGCAGCAATTCAGAGGAAGAAGGGGTGGGGTCAACAAGTTTCAGTTCGAGTTAAAAAGTTTTGGCTTACAATTAATTAAATGATTGGGCAAGAGGTATCTGCATTAAGTGTTACGTCAGATCGCATGAATAATTCGAATGACGCAGTTTATAGCGCTATTTTTAAGATAGAGAGAGGAAATCCCAAAATTAAATAAAAAATAAAATTAGAAGTTGGCTTTCATATTTTTTATCTTACACACACACACACACATATATATATAGAGAGAGAGAGAGATTGCCGCTATTGTTTAACGGTAAGCGATATATATATATATATATTGCTCACCGTTAAAATAAGAAAAGGTTTCTGAAAGGGGTTTATCATTTGTGGAATAATCTATTTTTCCATTTATGTTTTATTTTGTTCCCTGAATCAGAAACTTTAGAGCAATCAAATTAGTGAAAGTATTATTCGGAGAATAAGTGGATACTGAGAAAAGACTTTACTAGTAGTTAGTCAGGAATTTCACAATACTTACTAACAAAATGAAACTTTCAGAATTTACAAAATGTGTTATTTCCTCTACAGCGTAAGATAAACCATAATTTTTCGAAAATTAGACTTCCCTTGAGTATAAGATCCTCCGTACATTTCAGAATAAATTTTAAGAAATAAAACTATTGGTAAATATTTATTTTGCCTTTTGTTCTAAAAGGAAAATCATAGTTTTTCTCCTTCCTTCAGAATTTCCTTGAGGTAACAATACCATTAATTATGACCCAAGGATATTGTTAGTAATACATTGTTACCTTTTTGTTTTCAAGCATTCTTGTGACCAGCATAGTGGATGCAGGTCTAAAGTGAAATCGCTTAACTAAACGTGGTGACTGTAATCAGTTTTTATGGAGTTTATGTATACAGTAATTATTTATGGAGTTAAATTAGTATTCAGATAAATGTACTTATTTCATACAGTATGATAATTAAAATCCTGTCTTTCATTTTGCAGTTCCATTTCATAAAATATTTGTATATAAGATCCTACCAAATTTTAGAGCAAAAATATAGGGGGTTTCATTTTTGAGTGGATACGGTATTCACCCTAAAGTGAAATTTTAATTTTCATTGAATAAGTACAAAGAAAACTGTCTTTAATTTGTGAAGCTTCAATCCTTAAAATAAAGTAGAATTTCTGCCTTAAAAAGTGATTCTTTATTTCGATGACATTATGAAATATATACGTAAGTATATTTAATTCGTGCTTTTAATACGCTTCACTTGTTCCAAGGAGATGGTGGTAGTCGAACCAATTCTCTGTTAACGCCCATTTTACCACCAGAAGAAGCACGTACCACTGCCTACCAGTACCCTCGTGCTCGAAGAAGAAGGAGAAGGCCGAGGCCTCCTTCTAGTGATGAAGGTACTGGATTCAGCGATGAAGACGATCGACGGTACAGCGGCATGGGCATTCTAGAGTTCTCACCCACAAAGGCGGGACAAGATGTCACGCCAGCAAATCTCAGTTTTGGACAAAGGCAGAGATCTGGCACGCTACATTCTATAGCAGGTAAGAAACTATTTTTTATGCTTTTGACATTAGCTTGGCGCTAATATGCCAAACGTAATAGAAACTGAAATTATTAATCACATTAAGTCCAATCCCATTTGCTGTTATTAGAAGTAGTGTAAAAGAATGTCACATAAAACACTAAATTTTTAATTATCATAAGAAGAAACTTGAGCGAACAGTCAATGAACTTGAATGAACCATCAGTGAAGAGTTAAGGATTACTTTGAAAAATCATGATGTCTCTTTTTTTTTTAATTCAATGATGTCTGGTTTGGTTAATAGCAGAAAAATCAAAGTTAAATATTCGAAACAGATTTTTTTAAATATTTTTATACAAATTTTTATTATGGAATAATCCTTTAAATTCATGAAATCACTAATTTTTTAAAATGTACTCAATTGTTTCTCTTTCATTTCTCTTACATACGTGCAAATGTTTTTAAAAGAGTTTCAGAAGCGAAGCGAGAACATAAATTTTATTGATTTATGTGACAGTTAAACCAGTTAAACGTTCTCTATATAATATGTTATAAATGTAAAAAAAATTAATAAATCAAAGATCTAAATCCAGATTGCTGTACTATACTTAGAGCAGCTTCCTTTAGTTCAGTTACGAGCCACTGATCATTAAAAAGAAACTGAACTAAAAATATACTTATGTCGGGCGAATATCTTTTCAAATTATTGCATTTTCAGCATAAAATGAGAATGTACAATCAGAAATTGTATACTGATTAAAAATTAATTAATATTAAGCCTTCAAGGAAGTCAAATTAATATCATTCAGTTCAAATTAAATTCTTGTATGCAATTAAGTAGTGTTTTACTTTCAAAGCTGCTACAAATTATTAATTTCGAAAACGATATATTGTAACCAGGAACTTATAACTAGAACTAGGTTTTCTATTTACGGTGATAAAATAAATATATAGTAGCTTATCATCATGAAAAGATTCCTTAGCTCTTTTGCTAAAAACAGTTATTGTGCTACACATAAAAGAGCCATAATTTATTATGATCATATGCATAAACTATTTCTTTTTAGAACTCATCTATTTCAAAATACAATTCTTTTAATAAACTTAGAATTTGATGAAAATACATAAGAAAATCTCTCACAAAGATGTTCTGCTTCTTTTCTGATTCAAAGATATCATCATTGCAATATCTCTGAATGAATCTCAATGTTTGTACAGCAAAAGAAAAGTTTGGGAAATGAAAAAGAACTAAACTACTATAATTGTTTAAAAACTGCTTATATAGCGTTACATATGTACAGAATGTTTCAGAGAGATGGACCTCTAACCATCTCTTTAACAGTTGATTATAGCCCTGTTATTCCAGTTTAAGAGATGCAAGAAATAGAATAAGCTTTCAAACTAAAAAAAATATTGCTTACGTGATTCCTTTTAGTAAAAATATGCGAAACTTTAAATATGGGTCTCGCAGGGAGAAAATGTGACTGAGAAGATTTTCATAGTCCGATTAATCGAAATATAATCCGTTCTCGCAGAGCTGAAAATCAACTGAGAAATCCACTAAAAATCATTTTTACTTAAATATATACAGAAATCATTTAATCTAAAGATAACTATGCAAACAAGTTTTTGAATAAAATTTTTAAGGCTACCTTTTACATCAGAAAATAAAGCGAATCCTCTCTGACGACCATCTCCTTAAGCCGACTACTTTTAAAAGTGACCAGCATTTATAAGAACATAACAATACATCACCTCTACTTCTACGCTTGGAGTCATGGGTAGTCATTTCAGAGAAGGTTCACTGCAGTCGTTTAAATATGTATTTCAAACTTTCATAATTATAAAATTTCAAAATTTTTATCTAACATAATTCTTATTATTAGACATGAAAAAATGTAAAAAACAGGGATTGTCCAGAATTTCTTTTTATTCTTAATACAATAAATAACAAACAAAGAGTTTATGTCTGAATAAAGCTAAGTTGTTTAGCCTTAGTATATGAAACAGTTTTCGGTACTTTATCAAAATCTTTGTTCTTCTACATAGAAAGTCAGGCATTAATGCTGACAACTTAGATTCTTCTTCCTGTTTTTTGGAAAAAATCTGGCTACAGTATATTCTATAACATCAGGATAATCTAGTAGATTCGATTGACCAGCTCCCACCAACAACCGACGGGTAAATATGCTGAATACTGGTAATTCGACCTGGGTTCTACACCAAGTGAACGGACTGGCTGCGTAGATGTTTTTTGATATTCCCCATATGCAGCGTGGATACGAGCCAGTTTCCCTTAGAAAAACCTTCACGAAAGCATCCTTTACTGTAGGCAAATACCTACGCGTGCTCTGCTATAAACAAAGAAACAAAAACAATTCCTTCACCAGAGTACGAGAAAAATACGCGCGTCGCTGGAGCCGAGAGCATTGAAGCCTCTGAACGGAAGGTCGAAGGCATTGTATAGAAACGAGATTAACCTCAAAAACACGGAACCTCAAGGAAAAAAAACCTCTTTGTTTGCCGACGCTCTCACTTATAAAGTTTTATGACGTCATTTGACAGCGCTGTGGTAAAAATTAGGATATGCAAATTTCCGATACTTATTTAAGTCAAAAATGGTACTTATGGTCTTCTTCCTCCCCCCCCCGGGGAAAGTGATTTAAGTTGTATAATTTATGCAGTTTTTTGGAAGGAGGGGAGGGAGCAGTTTTCATTTTACAGAAGCGAAGTTATTTCAAAAGGATATTTTAGTAGCATAAGGAAGAGCTGTGTAATTGGCATTCTCCATAAAGGCGACGTATAATAATTTGATTTCTATTTTTACTGAAATACGGCGAATAATCAAAATTACCATAGTCTGAAAGCTTATCTTATTTGATTTTTTTCTTAAACTGGAACCATGAAATCAACAATATTCATTAGATAAAATTCAATCGTGCAGTCGTTTTGAAACACTTTGGATATATTCGCACTCTTATATTTTGTACCTCATTTAATAAAGCATAAAGGTGAAATATTTTATTTATGTTACTAATTCATTTCTTTCACTTTAAAAAATGGGAAATGCTCTTTTTTTTTTCTTTTCTCCTTAGATTATAAACTTTGCGTTTAGAATTTCGTGTATTGTGCTGTACATATTTCTTTAACAATAATTGCAACTGGATATTTATTCAAACATTTGAAAAAAAATTAATAAAAATAGGTATATGTGTATATACAAAAATAAAGCTCTAAATATTCACAAAAACGGGTAAGCGGTTGAGAAAATATCTGCTTTGAATGGCAGTCAGCTTGACCGTAGTTATCGTTCGTTCTCCAGGGTTGCTTCGAGACCTGCGGCGCAATTTCACAGACACCAGAGGGCCCAAGCCAGATGTCTTGCACGGTAGGTCAGCCTCAAGTTCTCTCTGTGTACTGGGATGTGCTGCTGCTGTTGCTGCTGCCAGTCGCATGTTATTCGCTATTATCGCATGTATTTTGTGTCAATTAATTGCTCTGTTGTGCGCTTTTTGTGGTGTATGATAGGCTCTTGGTGTTGTTGTTATTGTTGTTTCTTGTAGTGACGCAGTTTGTTGTTATGCACTTTGTTTTTTGCAACCACCATATACTGCAAAATGCCCGCTATACAATAGCAAAGTAGATGTTAGCGTGCGTTTACAGTATAGTACCTTGAGTGATACTAATATTTACAATTACACAGTATTACAAAGAAGAGTTCCAAAGACACGTTTATAGTCGTCAAAAAACGGCGATAAACACGCTGAAACAATCAGAAGCACAGCCTTCAGGCTATCAGGCTATTACGGTGAAGCCAGCTACATGGCGAAGCACTAAAATACAGCTCCCGACTCGGTTCAGTCGCTCTCAAGCTAATCTCTGAACTCAACACTACTACTGAACTCAACAAACTACTATATACTCTCACGACACACTTCACGATAAACTGCTACTCCGCGCAGACATGGTATTATAGCTTTTGATCTGCCTTCGAGAACATTCTCGGGAAAACCGGTAAGAATTCGTTTTAAAATGTTCTCGCTCCGTCTATCGCGTATAGCCAGTTTGGTCTCCAAATGAGTGATTTCGCTCAAAATATGACAACCCTGCCATTCCTTGCCATTTTTTGGCAGCCCTAAACCCGCTTTGCGGGGAAGCTGTCTTACCACAGCAGGGCATTTCGTAACAGTACTTTTCTCTAGTATGAAATCGTATTACATGCTTCTATCACTTCACGAAACATACTCGTGTTAAATAATATATTGTTTTCTATATTCATTTAGTTCTAAAAACTTCTGTCTCTAGTTTCGAGAATAAATCGACAAGAATGACAAGAGTCCAAAATTTTGTTCCTAACATTTTGAATATTGCCCTATTTGAATGAAAATGCAAAAATAAATTTAGAGAAAATGAAAGTAACAAGGGAAAACAAAATTACTTGACGCCTTAGATTTCAAGTAATTTCGTTTCCAAATTAAGCTGTAATGTCTCGAAAAAAAAGTTTATCGTTAGAAATAAAAAAAAACATTCAAATATTATTTTATTTCGTTTAAAAAAAATAGTCTGCCCTGTGAACTGTGACAGATCTAAATCGTAAACAATACATTTACAAATCAAAAACAATTTCAAGCTGGATGTAAGATGGCAGCAACAGATAAATGTCAAAATATATTTTTAGAAAAAATGCACTATACATTGAATAAAATAAAAAAATTAAAACTCAGAGTCTTGCAAAAACGATTGGATGATTTCTGTAAGTAACTGAACGTTTCTGCAAATAATATAAAAAAAATTTAAAAACGTAAACTAAAACTATTTCACCAGGCCTTCTTTAAAGTATGCATTTATCTAATCTTATTTTTACATAAATGCTTTTACAAATATAAAATATTTTACTTAAAGATTAATATTTTCTCTTTAAAGCGACACTGTCTCACCGTATTTTTTTTTCTTTTTGAATTTATGTTACTTTAACATTCTGGTCTCATTTTCTTCAAAAACGCAAATTTGTTTTGAAATTTATAAATTACTCCTTAATTTGCGTCTGGGGAAAAAGCTGTTTAAATGTTTTAAAGCTTTAAACATTTTGGACGTAACAAATGTTGTTCAAAAAATGCAAATTTCAGAATGAAAGAACACTCGGGAGACCATCAAAACTGTCCTACAGTGTAATATTGTCAAGACTTTTAAAATAATTCAATACCGAAGAATCTTAGATTTGTAATAGACTTTATTAAACCACGTGAAGCTACTTGTTAATCAACAAAATAGTAAAACAGCAAACCAATCTGCTGGATATAATGGCCAGGTAATAAGCAAAAATAATTATACTTGAGAAAGAAAAACTTCAGTTTTAATTCTCTTAACTCATTCTATTAACTACGTATTAATAAAACAATTACAGATTTATAATTTTATGAACGTTAAATTAGTACCGCTTAAACACATCGTGTGATTAATATGCTGTAAATTTTTAATTTAAAAAGTAAATAGCTTTCTTTAATACAAATAAAATGATATTTCTTCACGCATACACTGAGGCTATATACTTTTACGGGCTAGAGTCCAAAATTGAAGTTACAAACAGAGTTTTTTGCAATAATTCAAAATAGCTACCACTAGAATTTTAAAAAATGATGTGGTATAAAATTTGGGAACAATAAATATGATGTAAGCATCTATATTCTGTTACTTTAGAACAGAAAATTCAAGGTTAATTTTCGCCGCCTGAATTGTCCCGTAAGCATGGGAACGACAGTTGCGGCAGACGTTTTAAGTCACCTAATTCTTATTTTCCACTTCGTTTCCGTTTAGTTTGTTTCGCTTCATAAAAGCGCGCGAATGGAGGCTCACTTGAACTGCAGTCTTAAATTGAAGGGGAGAAAATAAGTGTTATTCTGTGATGACGACACGCGTTGTGGTCACATATGAGAAGAGTTAGCAACGATTTTGAAGTGTTTAAAATAACAGGATAATGTGTATGTCTAATGGATTCATTTGTTATAAAACCATGAAACTTACCATTTATCACATCTGTGAAAATCTATAAAACTGCTTCTTGCAATACAATTAGTTCCCGCAATCATTTCTGAATGATTGGGGTGATTTGAGATGGAGAGTAACAGGTAGGCTTTGAAAGCGGCAAGTCTCAAATGGAGATCCCTCAATAGTTACGAGTGTCTCGAATGTTGGAACAAAGATTATGGCTCGAATATCATGGTAAGAATTCCAACCTATTGGTATCATCACTAAAAGGACTATTCAAGGCTGTCAAAGACTCACAACATCTGCGGTAGATCGATATGTAGGAGCATTAAATGCATGACGAGTAAAGAAAGAGCTTTCGCACGACCTCGCTGTTGTGTCTAAAACAGTAATTCTTAAGAAAACTGCATATAGGTACTTAGCAAAATATGACATTTTAGCCTAGCAACCAGCGGCAGATTTCTCTCTTTATCAAGAAACGATTCTGTGGAATTAGGCAGACCATTCTTGTACACAGCAAGTTTCGAGCCATGTTTTCTTCAGTGAGATTAAGTCCACGCAGTCTTCTACGCAATGCTCTCAGAACTTTCAAGGCATTAAAATGTTTCGCTTTCAAAAGATTGAGATTTATTGCTACATTTATTACAACGACGTCATTTATAGAATTAGCACTCATTATGAAGCACGTAAAGTTATATGTAATTGTCAAACTTCTTAGTAGCCTGACCAGAGGCCTTTTACTATAATAAACCAATTTAAGTTTCGAGATATTACATGTTTTGTGTTTGTAACTTTAATTTTAGACTCCAGTGTAGATACAACATAGTATTACAATATACATTTAAGTCAATAGTCTTACATTGTAATGACTTCGTTCTTTAAACAGTAACTTTTAGTTCGATATTGTAATATTAAATTGTCTTACATAAAGTGATCGTTATATGTACACTGCTGGAATTTATCACATAAAATGATTGTATCATTGTTTACAGTCTTTTAGAGAAACTTTCCCTTAGCAGACTATGCACTCCAGAGTTGTGAAATGTTTATTTTTAAAACCTTCGGTTTATTTTACTTTCGAGTGCGGTAAGAAGATATGCGAAATTTTAAGGTCGTGAATTCTTCTGCCTGGATATGGCAAAACACTTTTTCTTGGCGGCGCACTGGGTATGTCCCGCAACTAATTAAAGATTTGTTAAAAATTGCTCTAATAACCGATTTCACGTGATAAATTCTTGCATCTAAAGAACGGCGTCAAGAAAGTGACGCACACTACTATTGCCTGATGGTATTGCTTACTTTAATATTACTGCATGGCATGTTACATTGAATTATGACGTCATCTATGCCCGCATGAGCTCTATCAGAGAGGAAACAGTAACGCGCGAACGTTATAGGCTCACTCAATATTCACAGTTAAATATCGTCGCTGTTAAACTCATTTGCTAAGTTTTCCAATTAAAAAAATAATTTGGTTTTGAGATCAATTTTAAGAATACGCATGTGTGCAAGAATGCTCGATGTTATTTCATATTCCGAGATATCAGTAATATTACTTATGTTTTGAATGATGTCGGATTCAATTTTACAGTTAAATATATAGTTTTATTAGCACAACTCTCTTATCATCAACGCGAAAAACTTACCCTCATTATCAGAGTACACCTAATTGTTTGTTATAATATATATGATTTAATTCATGTTAATTTAACTTTATTTAACATTACAAGACTTAATAAATTTTAGCTACTATTTAATTCACGCGCCTGATAATGTTATGCTTTAATATAAGTATGACTTATCCACAGAGACTACAAAAGTTGTTCTGAACTTTTCCTAATTTGTCTGTTTATTAATATTTTGCTTTGATAATAACTATAAATTACTTTTTCTATAACGCAAATAAAACAGCCTAGTAAAATACGATTCATCACATTTTAATTAGTGTAGTATTATAAACATAAGGTAATGTATAAATACTCTTTTACCCCTTTTGATGTTAGAACGTTATTTTATAAATTCAAGATTATGCATATTATATTTAGCTGTACTGGCAATTTGGAATGCATCAACAGTTTTCCTCCGAAATTTTTTCAGATTTATAGTTTAGCCTTTTGAATACAATATTTTAGAAACATTTTGCTGTGTATTAATGTGCGTAAGATAATGTCAATGTGAATAATGAGATTACATTTGTAATGTTCTTCTTTCTGTTTAATGAAAACCATTCTCAGAAAATGGTTAAAAATTTCACTTACCAAATCTATTTTAAATATTTGTTCTTTAGATTAAATGAGGATGTATTGCATGTGTTGGCTGTATGTTATGTTCTATTTATAAAAAAGTATGTAATACGCTTATTTTCTTGTATGGCATTTGTGTAAGTAAACTTAAATATTGGTG